GGGGAATGAACCGGGACAGGCCGTCCCGCCAGGACGTTGGACACCTCCTGAACGTGAATGGCCAGGAGAGCCAAACCACGAGAATTCAGCAGACGAGTCACCTGAAGCAACCAGCTCCAAAGAACCAAAGACCGCATTGAACTCCCGCGGTTCAAGCAATGAACCACCGGGGAGCAGTTCAAATGGAGCTGGATCGTCGATCTGCGAGCGACCCGAACCCTCTGAAGCGACATGCACACAGCTGCGAACTCCCGCATCGTGCTGTGAGCCCAACGGAACGACGGATCCCACCGTCCCTGGCCAGCCTGGTGAACACTGGTCACGAAGCCCCCAGCTAAGAAACAACGCGTCCGTGAACACATCGAACGAGGGCTCGGGGAGGCGCCAAGGCACTGAACTCCGAAAAACCCAAAGAGGAAGCCGGCAATGCAGCAACCGATGCAAGGCCCCCAGAGGCCAAACCCAATGACTGCGAGACAGGTGGAAAAAATCTCCCCAAAGGAACCAGAACAGCCGACGAAGCCAAACTCGACCCGGCTGGTAGATCATCATGGCAAAGTTCAGACTCTCGCACAAACCCTTGAGCAAACGTCTCATGACCTGGGAACCCCACAAAAACAGGCGAAGGCAAGACCGCAGCCAAAGCAGAGCCTCTGGAGGAAGAGACAAGGAAGTAGTCCGAGCATCCCACACAAAACCCAGCCAAGTCCGAACCTGAGAGGGTACCACATGGGACTGCCTCCAGTTCACCAGGAACCCAAACCCGGCGAGCTGGGACAGAACCAAATTCCTGCCGAGCGGACTGGCTGGGAGCTTACACCAGCCAGTCGTCGAGGTAGGGCAGAGCCTGAACACTTAAAAGACGTAGATGGGCCATCATGACCCCAGGTAAGGCGTGTGAAAATGCGAGGTGCCAGATTCAAGCTGGACAGAAGGCAACGAAAGCTGTAACTCTGACACCCCACAACAAAACCGAGTCAGTCTCTGAACCCCGGATGAATAGAGACGTGCCAATAAGCATCCTTGAGGTCCAGGGACACCATCCAAGCGCCCAGCTCCAACAGAAGATGGACCTGGAACAGAGTAGCCATCCGAAAGAAGAGGCACTAAACCCACAGGTTCAGACAGGACAAGTCCAGAATGAACCTGAGATCCGTGCAGTCCTGTTTCGGAACCGGAAACAGGCAGGAAACCCACCTGAGGGATGAGGTCGTTTCGACCATGCCCAAGCAAACCCACTCTGAGATGACCCAACTGAGCACAGGAGAATAGCCCTGCCAAGCCAACCCCAAACCTCCCAAAGGAGGAAGGGCCACCCAATGCCACCACAGGCCGCACAAAATGACCCGAAAGGCACACAAATCGTGAGACCAGGCGTGAGCAAAGAGAGCGAGCCTTTCCCCCCCTCGCCCCGTCAATGGGACAAACCGCGAAAGGGCCGACACCCCCTTTACGGGAACCCAACCTCTGCTCAGAGCGATCACCATGCAGAGCAGATGAAGACGGGTCCAAAGGCTGCGCCGGCACCGAAACTGGCACCACTGGCCCATCACGACGGGAGGAACCACGAACCCTGGAACAACCCTTCCGGGAAGACCCCCCCCCCCCCCACTGGCCCCCTGGAGAACCAACAAGTCCGACATGAGACGACAACTAGATGAAGTTGCCTGCAGATATTGCACAACTGCAGACTCTACAAACAGCAACGGGCAAAAAGGTGAAGAAAGCCTAAGAAGCAGGGCCCAAGCGGATTCCACAGAAGAAGCACGCACCACCTGTTGACACGCGAGACAGGAAGCAAAAAACAGCAACACTGCATCCCGCAGGATCGGCACAAACAGTTTAAAAAGTGCAGTGCGTGCGTGCAACGCACGCACTGTCGAGGCCAACGCACCAAACCCAGGAGCGACCCAAAGCGCCTCCACATCCTTTTTCAAGCCAGTCCGAGGACAGTTCGAAAAGGGAAAAGAATCGCAAGGCCGAAGCCAACAGGCCACGGGCGCACAAGTCCTCAGCAACCAACGCAGCTGAAAGGGAAGGGACGTGCATGTAAAGCTGCATCACACTGACATCCTGAGGAAGGGCAGGGGCGAACAAGCACACTTTGAGGTGCTCAAACTCTCCTCCCAGGAAAACCTGAACAACCATATGAGCCTCATGCCACTCAAGCAAGCTTGTGGAAGGCGGCCCTAAGGGCAGTACTGTACTTACAGGGCACCTAGGGAAGGTGGCAGATGCACCCAAGGCGCATGCAGCCCGAGTACTTGTGAAATTACTCCTAGCTCACGCATCACCAAGTACACAGCATCACACTACAAGACAGAGCTGGAGACAGGAAAACAGGAGCCAGACACACAAACATTGTCACTCACATCAGCTGAAGAACTGGGGTGTGAGTAGCCGACGCGAGGATCTGGGGCTCCTCCTTCCAGGGTTGCGCGAAGTGGCACAGCGACGTCATGCTCGTTTTCATTTGAGGAGTTCTGTCCACTAGTTTGGCTTTCAGTAGCAATGTTAACCAGAATAGGGGGGTTTGTTTTGGGGCGCTAACCTTTCTGGGTGCCTGACCCGGTCAATGGCAGACATAGAATGATTCCAATCACATGGGGGGGTTTCTATTGACCATTGCTCCTCGTGCCCCTCTGAGGGGGCCAGGTTCTGTCTCGTGGTCCTCGGTAGGCCTAGAACTCCATGTACATTGACTGATGCCAAAGTCTAATATATACATATCAGCCTGGATAGCTCCAGGGAGCCGCAGGGGCTCCCCCCAGAAAAGATTAGCAATATTGAATTAAATATGAAAAAAATATCTCTGCCGCAACTCCTACCCCATGGCTGGCCAGGGGTGATTGCTCCATGAACGCTTGTGAATCGTGGCATCATCGCAAGATTTCCTTGTTCCACCATTGACAGTTACAATTTCTCCTTTTAAAATGTTCCAGTAATTGGAGAATGCATTTTAACAATATTACAAGAAAAAAAATTCTTGTATACAGAGCATTCCATTCACCTGGGCTCTTTTTATACAAAGCAGTTGTCATGAAAATTAAGGTGAACAGTGTAGGGGTTAACCATGGTCATTACGGATTTCAGGGTTCAGGGCAACTGCAGTGGTTTAACAAATGGTATGACATAGTACATACTATATACAGTATGCACTATGTATAGTGCATACACTTTGCACTTTGATATGCACTTTGCTGTCTCATTGTTATTAAGACCAGTCTGTGATAATAAAAAGCAAGTGAAGAAATTAATGTCTTGAATTTTATTTTCACATATTCATGGGTCCCAGTAGTACAGTCGGGTTTGTTCTCAGTGCACAGTTGAAAATTAGGGTTTGTTCTCAGTGCACAGTTGAAAATTAGGTGTTAGAATCCTGGCCAGGACAGAAATGGTTGGGTACATTACCTTTCACCTAATGCCTCCATTCACCTAGCAGCGAGTAGGTACTCAGGAGTTAGTTAGCTTGTTGTGGGGTTGGATCCTGGGCAGTGGGGGGCTCGATAAAATCTAAAACGTATACCTACTTTATGGGGTTCCGAGAGTTCTTCTACTCCCAAAGCCCGGCCCATGGCCAGGCTTGACTTGCGAGAGTTTGGCCCACTAGGCTGTTGCTTGGGGCAGCCCGCAAGCCCACATATCCACCACAGCCTGGTTGGTCCGGCACTCCGTGGAGAAAATTATCTAGTTTTCTCTTGAAGATGTTCACGGTTGTTCCGGCAATATTTCTTATGCTCACTGGGAGGATGTTGAACAACTGTGGACCTCTGATGTTTATAGTGTTCTCTGATTGTGCTTATGGGAGCCGGTCGGCCGAGCGGACAGCACGCTGGACTTGTGATCCTGTGGTTCTGGGTTCGATCCCAGGCGCCACGAGAAACAATGGGCAGAGTTTCTTTCACCCTATGCCCCTGTTACCTAGCAGTAAAATAGGTACCTGGGTGTTAGTCACCCAGGTATTAGTGTTAGTTAGCTGTCACGGGCTGCTTCCTGGGGGTGGAGGCCTGGTCTAGGACCGGGCCCTGGGGACACTAAAAAGCCCTGAAATCATCTCAAGAACCATCTCAAGATAACCTCAAGATAAGTAACTATTGGGGAGAGACGAAGGCACAGGTTATATACCATAATATAATTTTGGGTGAGAGATTGATGAAGATTAAGCCACCCAAGAGGTGGCACGGGCATGAATAGCCCGTAACTTCGGGTGAGAGATGATTGATTGATAAAGATTAAGCCACCCAAGAGGTGGCACGGGCATGAATAGCCCGTAAACCAGAGTGCGGGTGAGAGGAAGGTACGGCCAATAAATAAGGTAGAGTGAGGTGAGGAGCAGGTAAGAGAAGGTTAGAGTAAGGTGAAAGGTAAGAATAGGATGAAAGGTGCAAATGGGAGAGTGTAATAATGGGATGAAGGAAGAAAGGGATAGGTAAGAATAAGAGGGTGGTAAGACAAACAAAAAAGGTCAGGTCACGTTGTTAGGAAGATTAAACATGACCAGACTTAAGCCTATACCCCTTTTTACTTTCTCTTACCCTCCTCTTATTCTTAACTATCCCTTCCTTCTTTCATCCCATTATTACACTCGTCCCAATCATTCCTTTCACCTTATTCTTACCTTTTGCCTTAGTCTTACCTTCTTCTCTTACCTGCTCCCCCTTCCTTACACCTTATTTTCTCCTAGAATTACCAGCTTCTCTTACCTGCTCCTCACCTCACTCTTTCCTTATTTATGCCTGTGCCTTTCTCTCTCCCAAAGTTCCTTATGGGCTATTCATGCTCTTGGGTGGCTTAATCTTCATCATCAATCATCTCTCTCTCATCACATACGACTTGATAATAGTCCAGGCTGGACCGAAACGTCGTCGCTTTCTTCATCTTGTGATGTGTGGTTTGGTCATCATATCTTCAGCCATGTTATTGTGACTCATCCTCTGCATAGTGATCATCGATTATTTTACTTCAATTTGTTATATAATCAGCTCCGAAATAAAACTAACTTTTCTCAAGTCTCTCAATTCTCTGTGTCCTCATTTCTTCCTCATCATTAAGTTTAATACCAGATGTCTGAAACATTCTCTTGCCCCAAGTGCTTGACAAAGAGCGCCCAACTGCAGATATCTGAAAGACATATAAATTAATCAATGAAATTTCATGAGAAAACCATTTTAAACGTGTAGCTGAATTTCATTTCAATATCAAACACCAGCACACAAACAGGAAAGTGATGATGTTTTGGTCCACCCTGGACCTTCAGTCCAGGGTGGACCAAAACCACTGTCATTTTCCTTTCTGTTAATTTGTGGGTTAGGTGTTAATTTTCAGCCACATTATTGCAATTTTTTTCTCTGTATTACATGTCTTAGTAATTACTCTGACCTTCTGATGTAGCCTAGTATCCTATTTGTCTCATTTTAATTAACCATTTATTTTTGCCATGAAAATTTGTACATATAACATAAGATCTCTCACATTCAGATGTAGCAAATTCAACATAAAATCAATTATTATCAGATTTTACTTTCATCCTTTTATAAGCTCAACCCTACATTTATCAGTACTGCCAAACATTTATTAATTTGAAAAGCGTATCCAAGTGGTCTTGCAGTGATTTTGAGTCTTTCCTCCAAATATGATTCACTTACTTTTAACTCATTCAACTTGCATAGTCTTGCCCCCTCTAGTTCACCTTTACACCCACAACACACAAATACCTGTAAATTTACCGTCTGTCTAATCATGATGACTTTGGAGCTGTGGCTGCTGCTGCTTCTGAAGAACCTGCAAAGAAAATAGAGAAGTGTAACTTGTCGGGCAGATATACAATAATACACCACACTTTCCTAATCACTTTACTATACAGTACTTAACTACTTCAATAACTTGTTTTTCATTTCAATAAGTAGTTTGATGAAGACTTTTTAATTGCATTCAATTTCATATATTAGATATACAGTATTAAGGTTAGATATATTTGTCTTTAAACAAAAATATTCTTATAATAATGCAAGTAAAATGGCTTACACCACTAAGATAACTAGACAAGGTGGAATAAAAACACATTGTGTATCTCAGGTCAACTTAGGAGCAGGTAATTTTCCATTTGTATTACTCCTCAGAAAATCAACAAACGTGACGAAATGATAAGTAAAAGTATACCAACCTATGCAAAGCTATTTATTCTAACTCTGTATAGGAAATAATTACCAAGCTAAACTTTCATGCAAATTCTATACTTTGTTCCTAAAGATCACAATTAACTGACACAGATAGGTGTCAGAGCCAGGCTCTGGGAGCAGAAGAACCCCCCAGAACCCTTTCCAGGTATGCTCCAGGTAACCCTTTCAATTCTTAATCATCTTGTGGAGCAAGGAGCCAATCACAATAATAAGCCTGCTAGGCATCCAGTATTATGAGGGCTGGGTAACTGGGCTCTCCTATCAAACTGGCCCACAAGCAGAACGAGACAAGGCATAAGAAAACCAGTAGGAACCACGAGGAGGGTTTGAACCTATTCTGGGTACTCCCAAGCAAATGCCTTAGACCACTACATCACAAAAAAGGTAAAAACAATGCATACCTGGGATTCAACTGAATCCTCTAGAGGCTTACATCCTGAGGCTTACATTGAGGCCTAACCAGGGTTTCATGCATTGCCCCCACGCACTCTGGCTTGTAGCCTAGGAATGCTGCTTCCTACACTTCTCTTAAAATGCAAACATTTCGTTAATGTAATTTCTTTGTGCGCGAGACAAGGCATACCTAGAGAGGACCTCAGAGTATTCCAACAATCGATGGCAGAAATTAGCAGAGGGGTTATTTGTTAAACTTAAATTAGTTATAGGTGCCATACAAACAAAAGTGCTAAATATAGCTTAAACTATATCATGTGTTTGTATGGTATCTATAACTGATTTGGAAAGTTAAACAACTAAACCTTAGCCCGTTTATTTCTGCTCAGCAAGGTAGCTGTCCCTAGTCCAATTACAACACATGTTCCTGCAATAAAATTAATACAACTTTAAATATAAAACAGTAATAGTCTTTTGGTGTTCTTGTATTTCTATTATTCCCCTCAATTTGTAACTTAGATTGATTTTCAACTGTTACTTTTAATGTACTGTAAAATGTTTTTTTCAAAAAGGATTTTTTTTTTACCAGAATTAGTAAAATATTTATACCAATGTAAATATTCTATATTTTAACGACATTCAAAATATAAAACTTAGTACCTAATGCTGAACGTACATAATGTACTGTACAAACCTGAAACCAGAACTTGCCAAGATTCTGGCAATTAATGTTGTACAGTACAGAACTCTAAAATGAAATTTCACAGTAAATTAGATTTTTTGCACTTGAACTTTGATGCAGGCGCTCATATTTTATTACAATTTTGAACGTATGCCAGATAATGAAGAGGATCACCAGCTGAGCAGTGCTAACTGCATATGGCTGTAGGCATTCTCCTTGTCTTATCTAGGAATCCTTCACTGATCTTATTTATGTACTTTTGTCTAAATAAATTATTATTATCATCATCATTATTACTATTATTATAACATTAGTTTAGCAAGAGGTTGGTTATATCAGGACTGAGGCCTAAGGCAATAGTTCTGTGGATAAATGCTTTGGTTACTGCTATTGTATAGTACAGGGTTTAGATACACAAACTCTTGTTTTTGTTAAGTGAAAAATAGCAATACAGTAATTTAATCCAAGCTTTAACCTAATAAAGGATGTATGATAGATGTGTACTGTTATATACAGAGTATTGGTATCAGTACTGTATAAATTTTTGTACTGTATTTTATTAGTATCAGAGCACCTGATACAGTATCAGAGCACGTAACGTGCAGTCTAAAAATGAAACAAAACACTGATGTTTTACATTCAGTAAGTCATATATGTTTTTGTTTTTTCTTTAGAAGAATACGAGGACATAAAAAGCTTTAGCTGCTAAAACTATAGACGTCCAAGGATAAGCCGACTTCTACCTTAAGATGGGTAGAGAGTAATACAGTATTTTAAATAATTCTCCAATTCCTTGAGAAAATGCTTTATTTTCGTAGAAATGAGTCAATTTCTAAACAGCAACTGGACTGTTAGGTTTAGGAGCAAATATCAAAAGTGTAATTGATGAATTATTCAGCCCTATCTCCAAAGAACACAATACAGTACATTACCTTAACTACCAAATTGTCCCACATATTATTCAAAGTCCCATTTATGTACATCAACGACATTCATAATTTTTAAATTAAAGTAAGCTTTTTAAGCTTACATTACATGGAATTGGTCATGGTAATGTAATTGCCAGAGGAGAGCACTAAACCAGTATGGTATGACTATGGCACTATTACTTGGGATGAAGATGAAGTCTGATTTGAGTAATGTGCCTATGTATGGGTTGTTTTTATGGGTATGGGCATTTTGATAACTTTGTTGTCGAATTGTTAGAATTGTGTATATTGTTAGGTTATGCTGTATTGGGTTTTAAAATTGGTTGGAAACCCATCTTGGGTATAAAATGTTATCCATTTTGGACAATACACGTGAAGCCAACCTAACCCATAATTATTGGGAACCTACGGGCAGTAACCAGGCCTGCAAGGGCTACTTCAGCCTGAAAGACACTTTCCTAAGGCAGAGTAAGTAATTATCAAAAGAAGGCACCAAGCCAGAGAGACATTGCAAAAAGTATGCATTTGAGGCATTGCAAAACAAATATACAGTAATAATGAATAATACATTTTTTTATATAAATCAACATAGAAGAATAATATACACTTCTTGAATTTATCTCAAGATGATTTCGGGGCTTAGCGTCCCCGCGGCCCAGTCCTCGACCAGGCCCTTCCTTCTTGTTACACACCCCCAGGAAGCAGTCCATAGCAGCTGTCTAACTCCCAGGTACCTATTTACTGCTAGGTGAATAGAGCATCAGGGTGAAACAACTTTTGCCCATTTGTTACCACCTCCGCCGGGGATTGAACCTGAAACCTAAGGACTACGAATCCTGAGCGCTGTCCACTCAGTCCCAGGCCCGCTGGTTTAATAATTGTTACAACATGTGTATATAGTCCCCGTGGTGTAGTGGTAAGGCGCTCACCTGGCAATTCGCGAGCACTTTGTCCTGGGTTCATATCCTGGCCGGGGAGGATTTACTGGGCATCAATCCTTAACTGTAGTCTCTGTTTACCCACCAGTAAAATGGGTACCTGGTTGTTAAATGATTTGGCAGGGTCGAATTCCGGGGAACATAGGATTAAGGACTTGCCCAAAACGCTATGCATACTAGTGGCTGTACAAGAATGTAGGAACTCTTGTATATGTATATATATATATATATATATATATATATATATATATATATATATATATATATATATATATATATATATATATATAAATAAATAACAAATATTTAATAAGGCCACAAATATGCAAAGCGTTTTGGGCATAACTCAAAATATCCTGTCAGGGTTGTATATAGGTACAAACCTTTGACGTGGCAAACAATACTAACAAGAAGCAAACAAATATTGTTCAAGAAATTTACCAAATGATATACAGCTTTTAAAGCCATAATGTAAACAAATATGAATAGTGGGAAAATGAAAAAGTGTTGTGGATAACATTTAACATTACAGGGTCCCGGTGGTACGGTGGGCTTCGTTTTCAACACAAACTCCAGGTTTATATCGCGGACAGGACAGAAATGGTTGGGCATACTTCGTTTCACCTAATCCAAGTTCACCTAGCAATAGGTAGGTACCTGGAAGTGATTCTGCTTCTTCTGGGGTTGCATCCTGAGGTCAGTAATTTGATCTTAGGAGAGGACAGGGGGGGGGGGGCTTGCTAAAAGCCTAACATGTATATATACACTGGCTACCTGTCCCCCTGACTCAATGAATTATTATTATTATTTACAAGCTATATCGTACATAAGACAACTCGCCAACAGATTTAAAACTTACCTATCCCTACCAAGCGTAATACAACCTCTCCTAAGCTGTCTTAAGCAATATACTTTAAGTCTTACCTATGTATCTTCCCCACTTTTTTTTTTTTTTTTTTTTTGAGATATATACAAGAGTTGTTACATTCTTGTACAGCCACTAGTACGCGTAGCGTTTCGGGCAAGTCCTTAATCCTATGGTCCCTGGAATACGATCCCCTGCCGCGAAGAATCGTTTTTTCATCCAAGTACACATTTTACTGTTGCGTTAAACAGAGGCTACAGTTAAGGAATTGCGCCCAGTAAATCCTCCCCGGCCAGGATACGAACCCATGACATAGCGCTCGCGGAACGCCAGGCGAGTGTCTTACCACTACACCACGGAGACTGCTTGTTTTTACACTACACTACTTGTTTTACCTAGGTACCTTTCCCACTTATCTTACCTATATATCTTCCCCACTCGTCTTACCTATGCATCTTTCCCTGTTAATGTCTCATATATGTATATTTGTGTAAATAAAGTACTATTACCCTAAAACTATCACTTGAGAACCAGACGTGTTCCCAGGCGTCACCACGCCACTACACAATGCCCCGAGTACTACACCCGACCAGTACTGTCGGGTGGGTAGTGTGTGCCCCTAGCACATCACCCGCTAGCCACAGGACCCGTTATTACCCGCGGAAACAGCCGGGAAGACCAGGTAACGGGTCACGTGTATGTAGCGAGGGCCGGCCGCGTGCTCGCTTACACTCCTCTTCCTACACAACACCACCTCATCAACTAATTCATTTATTCCTAACACATGTTCGTCTAAAAATTCATAATATACTTATATAATGTTCCAGCGATGTGTAAATATTTCATTCAAAATGATCTGCTACCAGAAATTTTAGCCAAATATCCCCAGTTTGCTAACTGTAGGTAGTAACTAAGTGATTGTAACCTATCCACCGCCGCCCACTGGATGGGGGGCGGTGTGCAGGACAAACATATCAATTGTGACACTAGCTCTCCACATATGTCAGTTGCTTAATTTAGAACAAGTACTTGAGGTCGATCTCGAACCCATTGTTGATGTGATGACTTATATTGAATTTTGTAACTAGCTCATCAAAATTGTAACTTGCTTAGCTAAATGAATTGTGGGGTTCAGTCCCTGAGTCCATTATGTGCCTCTGTAACCCTTTCCACTACCGCCCACAAGATGGGTATGGGGTGCATAATAAATGAACTAAACTAAACTGTTCTGCAAACCAAGTTTATTATAAATGTATAATCGTTTATAAATAAAGTTTTTGACTTTAAATATATTAAAATTAAAAAATTTATTTTTTTTATTCAGGTAAGGTACATACATACAAGGTAAGATACAAAGTTGATGGATTTATAGATAGAGCTAGTACATACAATGCCTAAACCCACTATTACGCAAAGCGTTTCGGGCAGGTGCAATGTTAAATGGGATTCTTGTAATGTTATTTGTCTATTGAAATTGAAATTGAAATAACTTTGTCTATTTGTACTCACTGAATTTGTGCGCCCCTTGAGGGACTTGAAGTAGAGGGGGGTAGAAATAGCCTAAGCTACTCTATCCCTTTGAGATGCATTTCTTGCTTATCTCAATAAACATACTTGAACTTGAACTTCGGGCAGAAAAAACATTGAAGACTAAAACTTAATACTAATTGAGTTTAAAGTTTAAAATGTGTTGAGAACAAATAAAAATAAAAATAAGAAAGGGGGGAACATGGCTGAAAAAACAGCACAAATACAATTAGGTCGACAAACAGCGCTGTTTAAAAAAACAGACATGGGTTGACAATAGAGGGGTAAGGTAGGTTACAGGGAATTTATTAGGAAGTGCTTCGTTTTTATCTTAAACTGGTTGAGAGAGGTACTGTCTTTAACATGGTTGGGAAGGTCATTCCACATTCTGGGTCCCTTGATTTGTAGAGCATTTCTTGTTTGATTAAGTCGTACTCTTGGAATATCAAA